CTTCACTTTTATATCATTTCTTTTCCTTTATACTTAATTTTTCAACTTGCAAAATTATATTTTTCCTTTCATCAAGTAAGAAATAATTAACACTGTATAGTTGTCTAGGCAAAATTATATGGTCCACCTGTTAAAAAAACACATGCCCACGAATAAACCTTGCAACCATAGGGATTTTTTTTTTTTTTTTTTTGGGTGAATAGGCAAAATATTTCTTTAGTGATCCATTTGCATCTGGCATCTCCCACTCTTGAACTAGGAAATAGTGATCGGAAGAACTCCACTGAACAATTTTAATCCTATGTATCCATTCGAGAACAAAATACAAATATTTACTTAGGATACATGAGTAACAACTTCTTTAAAGAATGGAATCCGAAGTCTATGTGGAACACGAACCTTTTCACTTGAGAGTTGAGTTTTGATTTCTTGAAATTGATGTTCAATAGCAAGACATATTTTTTCTTTTACCTCACGAAGACCTCCAGTTGAAACTTGAAGATACCTCTTTAGTAATGCATGTGCACCTTCAACTCTTGAAGTAGCCCGATTACCAAAGTGTGCAACATCATCTGTCCATGCACTCACAAATTTTTCTTTCAATGGCAGCCAAGTACCTCTAATATAGTTCAAAACAGCTGCATTCTCCTTGTACTCATTTTCAAAATGATCCCAAGCTTTATCGAATGATGATTCATTTGGAGATTTGATTAAATCAGCCCAAGTAGATAGGAAAGCAACCCAATCAACTTCTTCTCTAAAATGAGGTTTACAATTTGCAAGAATGTTTTTCTCAATATGCCACACGCATAACAAATTACAAGCACTTGGGAATACAATGCGTATAGCATTCATTAAGGCCAATTCTCTGTCTGATATGATCACCAATGGCTGATTATGAACTCCCAAAATTTTATTGAACATTTCTAGAGCCCACACATAATCCTTCTCTTCTTCTTTTTGCATGAAGACAAAACAAGAGTAGAATGAAGTGTTGAAACTTGAAACTCCTATTATATCCAATAATGGCATCTTATACTTATTAGTTTTATAAGTGCAATCCATCAAAAAGACATGTGGGTAACTCTTACTCAATTCAATTGACATAGGATGAGCAAAGAACAAATGAGTCAAATGCCCTTCTTGGTCATACTCAATGTTATAAGAGAAACCACCTCCACCAAGTTCATCCAATAATGCTTGAATAACCGTACGTCCTGCTAGGCTCTCCTCCAAAATTTTAGCCTTCTTATTGTAAATGTTTCGGGAAATTGCTAGAAGATGAGGATTGCTCTGTCGAAGTGAAGAGAGAATTTGGCGTGGTGGTATACCAGCCATACTCATCTCTTTAATCCGCATAATTTCCTCATTTGAAAATCGACGACAATAGGGATGTCCAGACATGTCCGTTGAAGGTTCATGATTATGCAACAAACTTTTAATCTCCAACTTCCAAAATCCTTGAAGTTTCCTTTTCTTTTTGCCCCAAATTTCAAATGGACAGTTTATGAGGCGAGATGCTGATTTCTTTTTTCTTTCCTCTAGTGGAACTCTTCTACTTTTATAATTACCGCCTCTATCACAACCAAGGACAACATATTTCTCAGATTTAGATCTTCTAATAACCAGTGCATACCCTTGCACAAAGGCAATCTTACGAGCAACTTCAATGAGGTCTTCCCGACTTCGAAAATTTTTGTTTGTCAAAGAGAGCATTTTGTCACTTTTATCAATCGATGCTTCACTGCCTATATCACAAACCATCCAATTTATATAAAACATAAACTACACATTGGCTACAGCTATGAAGAATGTTTATGCTTCACTGCCTGTCACATATTAGTTAAGAATGAATATATATGACAGAAGAGGTACTACTATGAGACATTTCGTCAAGCAGCCGGTAGGCGCCTCCAAAGGATCGCACCAGCAGGTCACCACGACCTCTACCCAAGGGCAAAAATAAAGAGATAGCAGTACCACTAATTTAAACTTGTCTATGTGTGCACATGAGAAGATAAGCGGGCAAAAGAAAATCAGCTCCCTAAAAAAAACCATCAAAATTGAATTGCAATTCATCAGAGCACCAAGTATTTCGTAAAACTCAACCTATGAATAAGATAACAGGTAATGCTCAGCAAAGTGAATTTCTTTTTAATACAGAAACATCTTCTAGAGTTCAAAAAGCTTCCTTTTGGACACAGATGTAAACCATCAATGCTCAGCATCTCCCCACAAGGTTAACAAATACGTTATGAAAAGGTTAAACATAAAGATACACACACATACATAAAACCAATATGCTAATTCACTGCTAATAATCAATAAAGTTAGATTAAGTAAGAAATAAAACGTACCATGCACAATATCTTGAGAATTTGAAGGATTACTAAATTCTGGCATTCCACTCAAATCACTGTTGCCCACCATGTCTAAAATCCTCTGCAACTCAGACTCTAATTTTTGTTCTTCATCCATAGCTAACCTTTCGCCAATAATTAAGAGTATTTGCCTTGGGTAGGAGAAGGATTGTTCTATTCCATGACTGGCTCTGAGAGTAGCTCTGGGTATGAGAAGTGGGAAAGACACGATGAAGGAGAAGAAGAGGGTTTAGGTATCAAAATAGAAGAAGAAGCTCTAAAGAAGACGCTCTGACTTCTTTTTTATTTTTTTGGTTTTATTTTCTGTTAACTTTTCTTAATTTTAATTATCAAAACATTAATTTAGGGTAAGGGTAGAATAGGAAAGAGAAAGAACAAAAAAGAAAAAATTGATGAAAAATCATTAAAAAGCAAAAGGGAGTGCAAGTGGAGAAAAGGGGAGTGGGAAAATCAGCTCCCATTAATAATTGTACAAGTTTTATAATATAAATGAATATGAAACATTATAATGAGTAATGACGTAATATGTGCATAATATTTTTTTTCTGTCTTTTTAAAGGAATTGAAGTTTTAATTATAATCAATTAATAATATGGAAGTAAGTCTATGTTATATTTCTTAACTTTACGATGTGAGATATTTTCATATCTTCACAGGTACCACGTATGTGTGGCAGCATGTATAACCGTTAGACTTCATAAGTAGATAAACCTACATTAACTTGAAAAAAAACACTAAATAATGATTATTTCTGTTGGGTTATGGAGTAGTGTTCACACTTCACACCAAAACAAAATCAAAAAGCTTCTTTTTGGAGGGCACCCGGCCGACTAGGGAGATATGATTGTTTGTGGGGACGTTGTACGCAACACTGGAGGCACTTGACAGCCAGCCGCCACTAACTTTTTGGCTTTTTTTTCCCCTTGTCTTCTAGTAATTGTACTTATTTTCCAAAAGCACCAAGCCAAAAAGTGGGGTCTCATGTTTCAAATGGTACTTGAATTAAGACCTGAGCATAATACATCCACCCAAATGTCAAATCACAAACTCCAGTCCGTAATTAGTCCAATTCAAAGAAGTGTTTGTGTTCAAGTGTGAGTGCTTCCGAATCTTTACAATTCTTATCCATTTTGAATGTGAATGAAAGCTTTGTATTAGTGCATCTTCATTGATTTCAAGTTAGATGTTAACATTTGAATACGATATGAAAATTAAGTTATTCACTTATAAGGCTCAACGATCATACATGCTCGGATACTTCCAATATAAATTGAACACACTTAGGCTCAAGAGATCTCATGTGAAGGGCATATTTGAAAATGTAAGTCTTGCGCATGCCACGCATTAGGAGGCGTATTGAGAGGATTGAAGATTATTGGAAACAGCTTCAAATACTTTGGACATTTTCAAACATTGTCAATTCATTCCAATAATTGAATGCTCAAGAAGACCAAAACGATTGCCTACCTCTCTCTCTCTCTCTCTCTCTCTCTCAGCATGTCACGCAAAATAATATACATTGTACATTACATGGAAAAAGGGACAAAAATATAATTGACCATTCAATTGAATTATTAAAATTTTAGTACTTTCTTGAAGCACCGTGTTCATTGATTTTGTAGGACACAATTGAATGTTGAAACGATTTCTAATTTGTCTAATTTTTTGCAATGATGATCTATGAATATAGACTTAAAAAATAAATGGTTTGGATTGTTGAAAAACAATTCATAAGGGACCCTAAATGGTATCCCTCAATAAAAAGAGAGAGATATACTCGATTAAAGAATTAAGGTTTAATATAAACCATAATTTTGAGGTTACTCAATTTAACAATAAAATAATAAAATGGTTAAGAAATATTTGAAAAGTGCATATCCCACTCGATTTATCTTTTTGGTTAAAGATGACAAAAAGAAAGAAAACAACAGAATGGAAGTTTATTGGTCAAACAAATCAAACGCCGACATGAAGCAGCCTTTCCTTAATGCTTGCACCCACTTCAACCATAAGTTGATGGGGTTGCAAACTGCTAATGAAGATTCTGTGGGTCCCATATAACCTCCTTCCAAACGTGCGGCTGTATTTATTTTCAATGTTTAATAAATTAAAATAACTTTTTTTAGGTAAATTAAAATAATAAAGTTGAACAACTTATAGTTATAGATCACATTACAATTTTATTTTTTGTTGAGAAAAATAACATAAAATTGACAAGGAATAAATTTTCAGTTATAGGCATTTGGTCATAATAATGGCTAGCTTCAATTCAAATGATTGCTGGAATTCTAGAAACTTTGAAGGAGAATTGACCAAATTAAACTTCAATTATTAGCGAGCTTTTTCTCCCAAGCAGAAAGATAAGGTTGATGGTCGGCAGTACAAACACAATGTGTTCATTTTCAACATCTGTAAGTATTATTAGTGCACTAATTAATTCAATCTGGACCGACAAGCCAAGCAGCTGGTACAGTGTACGTAGTGTAGCTGCGTAGGTAGTTAGCTGAAAATTTAGAACTCTAGGTGAATTTGGCTATAAATACGTACGCTGCTATGCATTCAGGAGCAGAAGCAAAGCAAATACAATTAGTAGATAATTAATTAAGAAGAGAATGGCAGGTGCACATGAGCTTGAGAAAGAGCTGACTGAAACAGATGTAGGGCATAAGCTGGTGGTTCCAGTGCGATGGCTTGATGAAATGCCTCCATTTGAAGGGGGCTGTCGTGAGGTCCAGTTTGGGGTCCTGGACGACAAGGGCTTCCATTTTCCTTTGTGCTGCTCCATTCGAAATGGTGGTTACCGGAAGCCGGTGCTTCAGGCTGAGGGTTGGCTCAGGTTTGTCAATTACAAGGGGCTCAAAGTTGGTGACAAGATTATATTTTGTCCTCAGGTAGATCATTTCAGAGAAACCATATTTCAAGTTAGGGCACAAAGGCAGAACATCCACGGTCATTGGGTTGATATTTGATGTGATATGAACAAAAGTGAGATTTGACATATATATTTATATGTATATGTATGTCAATCCTCTTATATATAGTTCTATAAGTTTCTGTTTCTGTCAAGCTTAATTTATTATGAGTGATTGGTATATGTATCTATTTAATGATATATATGCCAATCTTGTTATGTAGTTGTATGTTTATGTTTTGGATTAATAAGTTAATCTATGTTGTATGGGGTTTGTATTATGTTTAATCTATGTTTCTTTTGGATCAGGTCATCATAATATAAATGTAAAAGCTTTTATTTCCATATATAGCATCATGAGTTCATCATATAATGTTATTTCGTTTTATTTAAGCTTGGTAATTAACAAGTCTAAATCATTGTACGTAAGAAATTCTGCGTCCGTCACTGTTATATCAAACACTTTGACCACCCGCAACACTTTTACAAACAAACTTAGAGAAAGCCTTCACTCAATTACGCTGGTTTGACAGACAACAAGAAGTGAAATTAAGTTGTACAGCTTTTAAACCTCATGTTAAAATCTACCAGAAAGATTTAACATCTTTGGTTGTGAAGAATGAGTTATTGGAGAAAGATTGAGAAAGAAAAGGAACCATTAGGCAAAGTGAAGTCAAACTCCGACATAAAGCAACCCTCCTCTCTGTGAATACTTGCATTCGGTCAGGAATTCCAGATTGAAAATGAAAGGCAAGAATGAATATGAATGAATATGAATGAATATGAATGAATATGAAACATTATAATTGTACAAGTCTTAGAATATGAATGAATATGAAACATTATAATGACATGTGACGTAATATATGCCTACTATTTTTTCTCTGTCTTTTTAAAGGAATTGAAATTTTAATTATAATCAATTAACAATATGAAGTAAGTCTATGTTATGTTTCTTAACTTTACGTTGTGAGACATTTTTTCATATCTTCACACGTTCCATTCATGTATGTGTGGCGAAATTTCAACTTAACACATGAACAACACATATTGTATAACTACATAGAACATGTGTAGCCGTTAGGCTTCACACGTAGATAAACCTACATTAACTTGAAAAAAACACTAAATAATTATTCTTTCTGTTGGGATATGGAGACACCAAAAACAAAATAAAAAAGTATTTATGGGATATGGAGTTAGCTTTTTCTCCCAAGCAGAAGGATAGGTTGATGATGGTCGGCAGGGCAAACCATTTAGATCTAAAGAAAGATAGTAAATAAAACAGCTGAAAGAAGACAAACACAAATGTGTTCATTTTCTAGCACTAATTAATTCAAGATGCTGTGATGTCGTATTTTAATTATTTATGATCATTGCTTATCCACATTTGGTGGTCCCTTGGCTTCTACGAGTTGATTGGCAAAATTGCTTGCATCATCTCCAACACAATACTTCTTCTTCTCTTTAAGTGAACATGCACACTTGACAGCCGGCGGCCTCAAAAGCGCACCAAACTTATATTCCAAATCAACAGTTTAATCATCGTAAGTTAATTCTAAAATTGTTTCAGTCAAGTAGTTGATCCATCACCATCAATTATGTATTTCTAACAATTAGAACAAAACTAGTGCTTCTCAAATAGTTGGACCACTATGCTTTTTTTAATAGGACAAGATTGTCTACATTGGTACAGACCAAGATCTTATATGCCATTCATGATTTAATTATCCAAACTAAGTTAGTAAGCAAGATAGTTAAGGCAGCTATCTACATGCTTTGTTTCATTTGGATAAGCTATATATGTACATACAAAAAAAAATCAGCTATAGTCACCTTTTCTTTAGTGACTTTTAAAAGTATTAGTCACCTTTTTTTTTATGTGATTATAGGCAATAATAACAGTGCAGTTACAAATTATGGGTTGATGAGATTTGTGGGCGTGATTATTGGCTTTTGTCACTAGTGGCGGAGCCAAGAATTGAGGTTAGACGGGGCCATCAATTATGTTTCTAACAATAGAACAAAACTAGTGCCATCATTTCAAATAGTTGGACAAGTGACTACTATGCTTTTTTTAATAATAAAACAAAATTGCTTCAAAACCGGAGGACAAGATTTTCTAAATGGTACAAATCAAAATCACTAATTCCGGTCCTTAATTAATCCAAATCAACAAGTGTTTGTGTTCAAGTGTGAGTGCTTCCGAATCTTTACTAGTCTTAACCATTTTAAAGGTGAATGGAAGTTTTGTATTAGTGTTTAAGACACAAATTTGTGCATCTTCACTAATTTTGAATTCATAATGGAGCTTTGTGACGTGGGATCTCACTCCTCCTTGCTCCCCAGCTCAGCTAAAATAGATTTTGTGGGTCCCAAAACTTTTGGCTGCCTTCCAGAACAGGAAAAAAAAAACACCTTTTTAACTACCAAACTGAAACAGTATTTTGAAGCTTACAAAGATTAAAGAATTGAAATGATATCTTAAAAGTTCGTTTGATAATCATTTCAATTTTAGTTTTTAGTTTTCATTTTATGTGATAGAATAGAGAGGAAAATGAGAGTGAGATTGAGAGAGGCATAAAGCCAAAATGTGGGGCCTCATGTTTCAAATGGTACTAGACCTATGCATATCCACCCAGATCACTTGGATGAGTACATAGTCCACCCAAATAATGTCAAATCACCAACTCCATCCAGTCCTAAATTATAGTCCAAATCAAGAAGTGTTTGTGTTCAAGTGTGAGTGCTTCCGAATCATTACCGTTCTTATCCATTTTGAATGTGAAATTTAGCTTTCTATTACTTCTTTTCACCCTTCATCTTCACTCATTGTTAATTGATTTTGAGTTAAATGTTAATTGATTTTGAGCATTCAATTATTTGAAAACTAGGTTATTCACTTATAAGGCTCAACAGTCATATATGCTCCCAATATAAATTGCACGCCACACGTTAGTAGGCATATTTGAAGGAGATCTCATATTAGAGATTGGAAGTCGCTTTAAAGTTTTTGGACATTTCTATACATTATCAATTGATTTCAATAATTGAATGCTCACATCCTAACATCTACTTCCATATAACATGGACCAAATGTGAAAAAAAAAAACAAAAAGAAGAAACAAAAATCTAAGACAAAGGTACAAAAAGCATATGATTGAAAATTCAAGAAGACCAAATAGTTGAGAATGAGTTGATTGGGAGGGAATCAAGGACGATTCATACAGATCATAATTCATATGGATATCCAAAAAAATCAAAATGGACCGACAAACCAAGTAGCTGTTACATCAAACTTTTTATGTGTAGTGTAGCTGCTTAGGTAGTTAGCTGAAAATTTAGAACTCTAGGTGAATTATTGGCTATAAATACGTACGCTGCCATGCACTCAGGAGCAGAAGCAAAGCAAATACAATTAGTAGATAATTAATTACGAAGAGAATGGCCGGTGCACATGAGCTTGAGAAAAAGCTGACTAAAACAGATGTAGGGCATAAGCTGGTGGTTCCAGGGCTGTGGCTTAATGAAATACCTCCATTTGAAGGGAGCTCCCTTGAGGTCCAGTTCGGGGTCCTCGACGACAAGGGCTTCTATTTTCTGTTGTGCTGCTCCATCCGAAATGGCGGTTACCAGAAGCCCGTGCTTCAGGCGGAGGGTTGGCTCAAGTTTGTCAAATACAAGGGGCTCAGAGTTGGTGACAAGATTATTTTTCGTCCTCAGGTAGATCATTTCAGAGAAACCATATTTCAAGTTAGAGCACAAAGGAAGAACATCGACGGTCACTGGTTTGATATTTGATGTGATATGAACAACTATTAAGTGGGATTTGACATATATATTTATATGTTACAATCCTCTTAATTATATATAGTTGTACGTGTTTCTATTTCGATTAATAACGTTAATCCACGTTTTGTACGTGGTTTGCAGTGTGTTTAATGTATGGTTTAATTAGTGGTTGGTCCTCGACTATCAGGTCATAATGTAAAAGCTTTTTTTTCTTCCATATATATAGAGCTTGTACTGAATTTGATATTGGATCATGAGTTCATCATAAGGCTTTGTCTTGTTATTAAACCCTGTGATACTTGTTTGGGGCATGCGCTTGGATTTGATACTTGTTGGGGGCATCGGCTTGGATTTGATGTACTTGTTGTTTGTTATATGATTAAACAAACAAAAGATTATATAAATTTGATACTTATACTGTGATATCTGCTTTTCAAATTCGTGATCAGTCAGGATGGCGTTAGTGCTAAACAAAAGATTATATAAATTTGTGATCGATCAGTCAAAACTCATGGGTATATGCTGATGTTTGTTTGTTTTTTCTCAAAACAAAAACAAGTAAGAAAAGTCATAATAGATGTTAATTAGTATAATTTAATTTAATGGGATAATAGATGTTATCAACTTAACATCGACCACCGACCAATTCAAATGTCATCACGTGTTGATGGTTGTTTTTGGTGTTTTCTTCCTGTTGATCCTTCTACTTTCTCTCTAATTAATCTCTTAAAAGTTAATTAATTTCTAACTTAAAAGTATTTATTCATGCATCCGAGGTTTCAATATCGCTTGCTTGTATGTATAAAAAAATCATCATCAACACTAGTGCTGAGCTGAGTGATCAGTTTTGCAAAATGTTCAAATCTACCGTAAGAATTATGTCTAGATATATGGACCACATTTCTCTTCAACTATCTCAATTTGATCGTGTGGTGTCCCTCTCAAGTATTAAATTAATATGGGACCAAGTTTGTCCACCACCACCACCATGAATTAAGCACGTTTTACGAGGAGAACATTTTTCGAATGAGACTGAAAATGATGACGATGACAATAACAATGACAATGACAATAAAAATTAAAATTGTTATTCTATGCGGTTAAAATTGTTTATCATAACACTCAATCTATGAGGTTTTTCATGAGAATATAATATGTGAACGTTATAGAATTTGCAAATGTTGGAATCTATATAATAAGAAATTTTTTTTTTTTTCATACAAGCGATGTTGTGAGGGGAGGAGGGGGGGAATTGAACTTAGAATCTCGAATGAAAAAATACTCTTAATCACTTGAGCTACAAACATATAACTTGAGCTACAAACATATAACAAGAACAATCTTAAGAGTAAGAATTAAGAAAATTTAATACCAAGTGGGCAACCCTGCGCTGAGATGACCACCACAAAAATGCAACATGTACGTGAAAAGAAAAGAAAAAGTACATCAAAGAAGATGGTGAAGAAGAAGAAGG